TTGTGGCACTGGTTCTCCGTGCAAGTGCCTATTGAAAACTTCTGTTAGTATCTCGAATAGTTTGTTGGTTCCATTTTTTATTAACTCTGCATATATCCCCTCTGGGCCCGGAGCACGTCCATTTTTCAACAATGATATAGCTTTTTTAGTTTCTTCGATGTTAATTGTTGGAGGCTCTCCTTGAATCAGGATTTCATGTTGTTCTATGTTTTTGAATTCCGGTCTTTCTTCTACTAACAGTGTTTTATAGTGTTGTTCCCATTTTTCGGGCTCTATGGAGTGTATGGCTATTTGTTCTGTTCTGTTGGATCTGATGTTTTTTATAAAATCTCCAGGATTCTCTTGATTTGCGGCCGCCAATATACGTATCTAATTCCTGACATTTTCTCTCCCAGGTTTGATTTTTTTGACTCTATTATCGTGGATTTAAATTTATTTACCATTTCTCTATATTCTCTTTGTGTTCTTGAACCTTTGTTCCCAACCATCTGTGATATAATTTTTGCTTTTGATCTTTCATTTCCTGTAGTTCATCATTCCACCAATTATTTGTCTTTCTGAGTTTTGTTTACTCTTATTCCTAATGCTTCTTTGGCCGCTTGATGTATTCCTTTTCTTATTATGCTATGTAACTCTTCTGTTGTTTTATGTTTAAATTCCTGTGGTAGTTGTTGCTCCAATCTTTTTTTATACAATTCTCTAGTACTATCGTTGTCTAAACTTGTTAGATTATACTGTAGTTGTTCACCTTCTGCTGAGTGATTTTGATTTAGATTTTTTGTTTTGTTGGTGTTTACCGTTTCCGCTTAGCGGTAGTATCATTTTAGCTTTTACTAGATGGTGGTCACTTCCACATTCGGCTCCTCGAAATACTCTTACGTCATGCACTTTTATTTTAGATTTTTGTTTCATTATTAGGTAATCAATTACTGATCTTAAGTTTCTTGTAGGCTGAGTCCATGTATATGTATGTATTTCCTTATGTTTGAAATACCCATTCATGATCCTTAGTGAGTTGTGTCTACACATTTCTATTAAGTTATTGCCATTATCGTTTGTAGTGTTTTCTCCATATGGTCCTATTGTTTTATCTTTTATTCTTCTACCAGTTCTTGCGTTGAGGTCACCTAGTATAATAGTTTCCCTTGTTTGACCTATTTGAGAGATTAAAAAAAAAAAAACATTTAAAATACCTTTATCAGATTATCTAAAAAATCTTAATTTTAACTGTTTAAACAAGGTAGCCTTTTGATAAAAATAAAAACAATTTTTGAGAATGGACCTTAAGAGTTAAAAATCAAGATACTTTTGTTTTATCTCCTTAAGAAAAAATAACGGGAAAAAAGGGAAACTAATACTTAGGAAATTGATATCTTCAATCCAGAAGTTGGACATTCTTTGCTTGTTCCGACATCAAACTTGAATCCATCCTCTACACTATTATTACATTCGTTTTCTATTGGTATTTGTTTAATTTAGTCTATTTCCGTCCAATTTCTTTTTATGTTTTTTTTTATTTTATTCTATATTATTTTTCTTTCTCATTGATCGAGTAGATATTTAGTTCTTACGTCTCCATTTCTCTCTACCTCTGAGAAATCTCATTTTGCTAGCTTGGATTCTAGAGTTATCTAAACGTCATTATCTAACTTCCACATTCATATAAGAGAATTATTAACTGTTTTATAAAGTTTTATCATTGTATCGTTTTTTTTTGTTCTTCATTGCTCTGTGAATTGTTCCGCATAGATACTGAAAATGGTAAATTTTGTGATAATGTGTCTTTCTCGAAATTTTTGTTACACCTTCTTCTTATTGTGCCATCTTCTAACGAAGGTTAGGCGATCACTTCTTTAAACGCTTCGCTATTTTTTAACGGATTGGGCTTTCAGAGTCCAAGCTTCTACCCCATATAGCAGTTGTGACCATACATAACATTCGACGAACCTCAATCTGATAACCATACTCAATTTATTTTTTGAAAACATTGACTTGTATTTTAATAAATCCTTTTCGAGCTAAATGTGTTACACCTTAGATAATTAAAACGACCCACTTGTTCTAGTGGATGAACATCAATTATTATTTTTGTTCTTATGGGATATTTACCTTCAAGCGCCCAATTGTCTTTTTGTCGATATTTTGATATTGAAATTCTTACACACTAGATATAGTTTGTATACCCATTTGCGATCCTACCATGAAGAACTTAAACCAAATGCATCCAAGGAATGTAATAGAAATTATGTCAGAGAAAAGCATGTCAGAAACATCCACAGTACCTAAGAAGTTTAGCTCACTTTCAGAATTTTGAATTTGAATCACCTGATCATCGGCAGAGTATTTAATTTGTGCATTTGGTAGGGCCTGACGAGTTTTGTGCAGAATTCCTAAAACTTATGGATGAACAGGGAATAAAATGGATAACAACTGTATTCAACAAAATATACGTAACTGGAAAAATACCCCAAAGCTGGTTAAAGTCGACCTCGTGACCATACCAAAAAAAAGTAAATGCCAAGACATGCGAAGACTACAGAACAATTAGCCTAATGAGCCACTTACTTAAAACGTTCTTGAAAGTGATACACGGCAGAATATATAAAAAATGCGAAGAACAAGTATCATGGACGCAGTTTGGATTCCGCGACTCCTTAGGCACCCGAGAGGCTCTATTCGCTGTCCAAGTGCTTATGCAAAGATGCAGGGATGTTAACTGTGATGTGTATATTTGTTTTATCGACTACAAAAAGGCATTTGATAGAGTAAAGCATGATAAACTTATAAACATCTTGAAAGAAGTGTGGTTAGATGATATGGACTTGAGAATCATCTATAATTTATATTACAACCAAACAGCCAATATTAAAGTGGATGACCAATTGACAGAGGCAATCTCAATAGCTAGACGAGTGAGGCAAGGATGCATTCTGTCCCCGGTGTTATTTAATATATACTCTGAATATATCTTCGAGAAGCGCTGGGAGAACTACAAGAAGGCGTATTAGTCAACGGAATTCGTCTAAACAACATTAGATATGCCGACGACGCAGTAATTTTGCAGATAGTCTGGACGGTTTGAAAAGAATAATGTAGCGTATATCAGATATAAGTAGAAAACACGGACTTGATCTTAATACGAAGAAAACAAAGTACATGGTAGTCAGTAAGCGCGAAATATTAAATACACAGTTTTTGGTTAACCAACATCCAATTGACAGAGTGGACAGCTACAAATACCTTGGTAACATTAACAGCCAATGGGATCACTCCAGTGAAATAAAACAACGCATAGGAAAAGCGAGATCAGTGTTCATAACGATGAAGTCTCTTTTCAGAAGTCACGATTTACCACTTCCTACCAAAATCTCTCTCATTAGATGCTATGTATTTTCTACGTTACTATACGGAGTAGAGGCCTGGACACTTTCCAAAGCTTCTTTAAGAAGTCTTTCTCGAGGCATTCGAGATGTGGTGTTATAGACGTATTTTAAAAATTTCATGGGTGGGTCGTGTGACTAATGTTGAGGTCCTACGTAGAATAGGCAAGGAATGCGAGATTATTAACACCATCAAAGAGCGCAAACTGGAATATCTTGGCCATGTTATGAGGAATGAACAGAGATACGGCTTGTTGCAACTCATTCTTCAGGGCAAGGTATTTGGAAAGAGAGGACCAGGGAAAAGAAGAATATCTTGGCTTCAAAACCTGAGAAAGTGGTTTAACACATCTGACAACCGGACTATTCAGAATAGCAGCAAGCAAAGTTAGGATAGCCATGTTGATCGCCAACATCCGGAACGGATAGGCACCGTAAGAAGAAGGTGTTAATTAAAAGCGTTAGTGACATACTCGGAGCCTATCCTCGGGAGTTGGCCACCTGCCTAATGTGCTGCCTCCCTATAGAGAATGTTTCATATTTTTATTAATTTTCACGATGTCATAACTTATCTACCCATCTAAGAATACAAAGTAAAACACTAATAAAAATGCCAATTTTACTTTAACAAGATACTAAAAAAACAAAAATAAAAGACTACTTTTCCTAATAAATATTTATAAACCAAATTTTCTGATCTTCTAGAAAGTAAGTCAACAGTTTCGGTGATATCAGTTTGTTCAAACAATTTTTAATTTTGTATAACTTCATTCACCTGAAGCCTTAGAAACAGGTAAGATTAAACATTCTTAATGCTAGAGTAAAATTTGGAAAACAGAGTATGAGATCATTTTTGACTATAATTTCTAATATTTCAGTGGGCTGTATTTCATTTTAAGTTATTTCATTAAAGAGTTGTTAACTGTCTACATCTTTCACTATACTTTCTTCCTCCTGAAGCTGTAACTCAATATCTAAGTCCATGAAGCCTTCCATAAAGTTATCATTAAAGATGTTGTGAAATTCATACAGAAAGCAGAATATTGAATAGCATTCAGATAAGGTAAATTCTTTATTACTGAGGGGGTGATGTGTTCAAGAATTGCAAAATAGAAAGCAGGCTTGACAGGGTTTGAAACTAGTTCATCACTGCCTCCTAATCAATAACAGACACATTTATTTTTAAAACAAAAATTTTATTGTCGTTCACAGTATATAACCAACTACAGGAATTTAGTTTCCTTGTGGATTTTAAACAATAAAAGGTAAAGTGGGTATTGTTAAGAGGCTATTTATGGTAATGCTTAGTGAGAAATCCTTATCACGTTAATGTTGCCTGCTATAAGCCTTTAATGTTGCCTTGCCTATATGATGCGTAATGCTAATAATACCCTTTCATGAATATTTTAGTTTACTTACAAATCGCTAAGGTACAGGAATGACTATAATTTTTGTTTTCAAGGACATTAGATACTTTTTGGGGGTACAATGTTAACCTTATGTTTATATGCAAATATATTATAAAACTTGAGCCACTCTGTATATGATATTCTATATTTCCTTGAGCCGAAGGTTATTTGCGAAAAATGCAAAATGTATTTAATGATCACTTCACTGATCAGAACAGGTGCATGTCTTCTGCCGTGAAGTCGAATATTTAGTTTCTTGTTTCTTTGGACTGTGAACAGATTAATAATAACTAGAATATTTGATATTATTCTTCTATTGATCGTATAGGTAAGAGAATCTTTGCTGAAATACATTTTAAACAATAATTTTTAGTATGGATTTTACAATTCTGTCCATTTTAAATGAAAATTGATTGAAATAATAAATAAATATAACCACGTTGACATAATAAGTTTTAAAAAGAATTTTACAACATTACGAAAACAAATATTATGTATTACCAAAAACATTTAATACAACATTTTTTTGAGAACTTTGAATAATCTACGTAGACAAATCCTGATCTATTCAGTTATTTCACCTTAAAATCACGTGGTGATAAAATTGGATAAAACTAAACCTAACCACTAAAATGGTGAATGATATGTCATGCTGGTCATGTCACATGTCACGATATGTTATGTGCATAGACAGGTTGACACTGACGTACTGACAGTATTAAATGTCTACGGTGTTGTGACATGTACCACAGAATAATAAACAATTGTTTATTATTCTGTGCATGTATGTACTTACATCATCGAGCAAAGAGACAAAAGAGGGAATCTAATCGTTATGAAAAGGAGACCAAAAAAGTGGCCTCTGATGGCCACTATGCAAAGGCGCTAAATTTAAATTTTCCGACACTTATTAACAATAGCTATAAAATAGTTTTCTAATGGCAGACGAAAAGTTTTAATTAAATATTAACGATAATAGTCTAAAATGTGATACAATTGTAAAAAAACTTCAATATAAATAAAATTTCATGTGCCAGTTGGAACAAACAATAACATAACCAAACTAAATTTGATTTTCTAAACAAGGAAAGAGACTGTCTTTTAAAGTGGTCTCTCAAGATTAATAGTCTAACTAATATTGCCCACTACCTTCATCCTCTGCTTTGCTCGTTGACTTACAACAGGGTTTCCGGTATTAGTTCGCAAAAATCTGAGTTTATACAATTCTGAATATTCATAATGATATATATGATGTAACCACTTTCTTTTTTTGCACTGGAAACACTCTAAACAATAGAGGAAAATATTTAACGAAATAAAAAGTTTACTCGATTATCTACCATAATTACAAAAAAAATCTAATTTTATAATAATATACATATTATATAAAATAAATTTAAAAAATTCGTCTAATAAGACACGAAAAGGAACTCTCAATCTGCATTAGGTCCTAGGAATATACAAACCTATAAATAATCTTACATTATAAGTTATATAAGTATTTGATGTTACTATGGAAGTGGTTATCTTTCTTTTATTTATTTATAATTTATTGTCATACGAAGCCACTTGCGTTGTCCTCTTTTTTCGTTTTCTGAGAACCTTAATAATTATGAATGTTAAACGTCGAGTACGCATTTTCGCATTTTCGTCGCACAATCAGATATTTTAAGCCACTTCTTGTTCTTTTATATCCGTTTATTCTAAGAATTTAAGATTTACTTAAATATGAATAAAATAAATGCACTATTACGAGTATATTACGTTGAGTATTTGAGAGCGAACAAATAGTATCCGTGGCTATTTAGTTTTCAACTTAAACTTCTTCTTCTTCCTTCTAGTATATAGGCTTTAAAGCCTGTTTCTTCTTCGATATTAGCCTCATAAATTGTCGCACCATCTCTTTCTTGGTCTGCCAATACTTCTTTGTTCATTTGGTGACTTATCTCGTGCTATTCGTACTATTCTATCCTCTGCCATTCTACTGATATGTTCGTTCCACTCCTGTTTTCGTATTGTCACCCATCCATTTATGTCATCTATATTGCATGCTCTTCTTACGTTTTCGCTTCTCTCCCTATCCAATAGACTTTTCCCTGATATTCGTCGGAGTATTTTCATCTCTGTTGTTTCTAGCAATCGTCTCGTTTTAGATGTGTCAGGTCTTGTCTCCGCCGTGTATGTTAATATAGGTCTAATTGCTGCTTTATAGATTCTTGTTTTTGTGTCTTGTCTTAGGTGTTTGTTCTTCCAGATGGTGTCATTAAGAGAACCCGCCGCTTTACTTGCTTTTAAGATTTGTTGTCGTACACCATAGTGGGTATTTAGATGTTGTCATACATTTGGTTTTGTCTGCTGATATTATCATATTGTATTTCTTAGCTGTTGTATTCAAGAAATGTGTTAATCTTTGGAGCTCGTCTTATGTCTCGGCGATTAATGCGGCGTCGTCTGCATAACATAATATTTGGATTTCTTTGTTCCCCATTCTGTAGCCATGACCTTTACGTACTGCATGTATTATTTCGTCCATTATTATATTAAAGAGAAGTGGGCTCAACAAGTCACCCTGTCTGACTCCGCTTTGGACTGGTATATCACTGTGTTAGTTTTCCATTTATCTTTGCCTATATTCGATTTTGGAGGTAGATGTTTTCGATGGTTTGTACAATATTGATTGGTATGTTTCTTTTATACAGTAGGTTCAACTTAAACTGTTCCACTTTATGTTCTAAGGTTTCCAAGCGTGTTACTACAAATAAAACATATATACTTGTATAACTTATTTACTTCCTACCTGAAGAAAATTTTTATTAGAGCCAAAAGTGATTCTATCTATCAAGCATTTTGATGAATATATTTCAAAATTTAAAGAGCAATAAAACAGTACATCCGACTATAAAATGTAATTTTTAAAATCTAAATGACCTGACCACGCCCCTGTCGTCTTTTGCAATTTGATCCCGACGACAGTTTGCTGCGAAGGTAAATATTCTTTATCTATGGGTACGATAACGGGTCACGGCTTATCTTGAAAATATCTGACTGAAATTAACTCTCCGGTCGGAAAATACATTCCGTTTAAAAACATTGAACAAGCAACATGTATTAATATATTTAAAATTTATTTTTATTTCATTATTAAAAACAATTAAGTTTTTTTATAATATTGCATTTACATGTCCATAGAAGTATTAAACAGTTTAATTTACGATCTTGAGTTCTTTACTAAAACCATGGGAAGCCCTAATAACATTTACCAGAAGTAACTGAAAGAATTCAAGATTCCGTTTTCCACTGAACAATTACCCAATAGTAATATAAAGTTGTGGGCAAGATGTAATTCCGAAACTGGTTATGTGTATAATATAAATGTTTATACTGGTAAAGATGATATTAAGTTAATAACTTTGGAAAAAACAATAAATCAGTTATATTAAACAATTTGTAATTAGAATAAACTTTGCTTCGACAGACTTTTCACAGAGTCCATCTAATGGATACTATTATGTTTCTTATTGCCGTCACATGAATAACTACCCGAAAAACATATACTCAAGTTTCAAAGCAAATTAAATCGAGAAGAATCTCAAGTGAAAGGTAATGGGAAAGGAACATTAGCTGTACGATGGCAGGACACTAAAGATTTTATCATACTCACTGTCATAAGCCAGAAGAAATACCTATGTAGAAAACTGAAAGATCGTACAAGAGCCAATATTTATCGCTCCATATCGATTGAATCCCACACCCACAACCTTTATATGGGATAAGGGGTAGATATATGTGATCAAATGACGTCTTCGTACGATCTCAAACGAAAATCCCAAAAATGGTTGAAGAAGATTTACTATAAAAATAACTTAGAATGAAGTAAACATTTTTGATGTAAAATGGTATATACTTATTTATTATAAAATTTTATAAATATATACCATTTATAATACCATTTATAATAGACATTCCATTTTACCTCAGAAAGTTTTTACTTCATTGTAAGATTTTTTAAACTATGGTTTACAGCCAACCACTGGGATTTTCCCTTTAAATTGTTTACTATAAACGTCTAATGATAGCCGTTTACAATTCTTATGTTCTGTATCATACTGAGTTATACTCCGGAAATAGGAAAAAAAGATTTTTAAATTACCTGGTTGAGTTAGCTGCGAGCCTAATCAATACTGACTGACCAGGAATTCAAAGAAGAAAGAAAACTAAACATGTTGACCGCCGAAGCATGTTAGCCAAAGTGATGAGAAATGTTGGCGACCATTTACTCCCATTAGGAAAATCCATTAGTCATTGGAGGTGTGTGAGATGTTCAAAACATAAAAAAGATGAAACGCGCCAAATTCATGTGTAAAAGGTGTGATATTCTGTTATGTAATGACTGTTTTACGCTATGTCATGTATAAAAATTTATAATTCTTGTGTACTGTTGGAATTATATATCCCACAAAAGAATATGTCGGCATATATAGTCCCACCTATTTTTGATAAAAAAATATATTTTTTGAAGTTCATTTTCAGTTTTATTATATGCTTTAAAATAGGAAATCAAAGAAAAATATATATAAAACTATTAAACAGACGGGCGAACAATTAACCAAACTGACGATATACTTGTTGAAAGAAAACACCAGAATATTATCACAAACTAGCTGAGAAGCCTGTGTCGGTCTTAGCTTTCGTGGAGGAGGAGCTCTGAACTGAGTAGGGGTTCTTCTGTACTTCACGGAAGACAGACTGGGCGGGGAAGTCCTCAACCTCGACACGGCACGTCCCATATGGCTGATAGGGAAAGTTCCTGCAGATATGCAGGACAGGTACGAATAAGGCATTGCCAAATAAGTACCCGCGGATCAACTGAGGATATGACATTAGGCAGCAGTAATTTCATTACTGGATTAAGGCTATGGGAAGTAAAAATTCTGTAGGCTTAATTCCAGATACTCACAGGCGTCACTCACATTATGAGTTAAGCGGCTGTGATACTGCGACAACAGCAGCGTCTGGCCCAGAGTGGGCGGCTGAAATAGCGTCTGTCCCAGTGTGGCGGCTGAAACACACTTACCAACCCGTCTGGCCAGCGTGGTGAGTTCACGGCCAATCTACCCCCCTCTTATGACAGATACACGTAAGAATTGGCCCTCAGTCCCCAGCAGCTCCGGAGTCACCTTCCAAGGCAATGGTAGGATCGAGGAAAGAGCAGAGGGTGCTAAGAATCTCTGGGTTTTAGAAGATTGCCAGAAACAACGAAAACAAGCAACGAAACTGGATATTACAACTTATAATGTCAGATCACTGATGAGAGACGAAAAGCTAGCC